GGCGAGAATTTGTGTCATCGCTGGTATTTTGTCGGGCGACAGGCATATGCGTCTCGGTGGCTCGGGGTCTTGGCCGTTCGTTGGGATGGATGCGACGTGTTGGGGGAACAGGCCGTGTTTCCCTGACCATTGAAAGATGTTGTCTTTGTATGTGGTCAGTAGTTGCGCGATCGCGTGCTGTTCTGCAGGAGAGCCGTTTACGAACGTAATTCCTTCGCCGGGTTCGGCTTGTGGTACCTCGTTTATGGGTTTGATAGTTTGGAATCCGGAAAAGATTCGTTGGCCGTCGAGTGTTACACAGAACGGGAGGTTTTTTAGTGTGTCGAGGCCGAGGATTATGGGGTATCTCGCGTTTGCGAGGAGAAAAAAGGTCGCGGAGTAATCGGCTGAACCAAGAGAGAATGTGGTACTTACCGAGTGGCTGATGTCGGCGGAGATGTGTAAGACGGCTGCGGAGATCTTCGCTTTGGTCGGTTGGGGTGTCAGTCCTACTTCTGCTGCGACGTCGGTCGCCATGAATGACCTGGTGGCTCCAGTGTCGANCTTCTGCTGCGACGTCGGTCGCCATGAATGACCTGGTGGCTCCAGTGTCGATCAGCGCTGTAACGCGTTTGTTCTTGATACCGATGATGATCGTGAGGCTGTCGTCTGTATCTTGGGGGATCGAGCAGAGGACAGCCGTCACTGCCCGATCTTGGCGTTTCCCTGGTTCGGGCAGTTTGCCGCTGTGTGACCTGTAAGTCCGCATTGTACACATTTAGTCGGCTGGACTGTTTGTGTGTTAGGCGAGTTTACCTGGTTGGCCGGGTTGTTTCGGCATTCCGCCGTCGAGTGTGCGACGAGGCGGCCTGGATGATAGGTACACGATTGCAGGTTTCGTGGGGATTGATTACCCGTGGCCGTGTTGGGCCGTGGGTTTTGCCCGAGCGAGCATTCTGCGGTCGTGTGTAGGACGTACCGTTGGTGATGGTCACAGTAATGTTTTTGCACGCCGGACGCCGTAGTTTTTGGTCGGCGGTTGGTTTGTTGTTGGCTTTGTGGGGCGGGTGATGCCCGTGGCGTATTTGGGTGCATGCGGCGGTATTCGTCCGCGTATGCCAGGCAGTTGACCCATGTTAGGGTACGATCGGCGGTCGCCTTGGAGTAGAGGTGGGCGTGGAGCCCTCCGGTGGTGATTGCTAGGAGTTGCCCGATGAGGGCAGCTGTGATGGATTTCTCTTGCCCGGGTACGTCGTTTGCGCTGAGCGGTAGATAGTGGATGTATTCGC